TATTTTATGTCTTAAAAACACATTTCCTTTCTTTCCTAAACCCAGCCGCACCTTCTTCCCTTTTCTCTCTAAAATTCTGACAATTAAATGCCTTTCCCTTTTCTTGCTGCATATCATTTTCCTTTTCTCTTTAATTTCTGACTTTTAATTCTTGTAGGACAAATTAGCTAAGTTCTAAACGTTTCCTATTATTTTCTGAAGTACCCTAGCCCTATAAATAACACACATCTAGCCGCACCCAGGGACTCTTATCAATCCATTCACTACCATACTTACTTTCAGCCATTCTCCCATACAAACCACCACTCAAACCATCACCCAACCCTTGTGCCGCAACAAAGAGAAGAAGGAGGACCTTGGACGTGCTTTCCATTCAAGTTGGATTGATGGAGCGTTTTTAGGTGTTTTCATTCTTTGTTTTCAATGTCTAAATTTATGTATCTTTGTTTTATGAGTATGAAGAACTAAAGCCCTACTTAGCTAGAGGGAAGTTCGAAGCCATGAACATCCTTGAGATATGAATTTATTTCTTCCAATTGTGATTTGATAAATTGTGAATGCAATTCAATTAACTGTTTTCTTCAAAACTGATTCTTGTATGTTGATTAAGGATGCATACTTAGTTTTCATGCATGAATTTGATGCTAGAATATAAATGAGTTTCACCTAATTGTTACAAATTTATATTCATGAGTAGTGAAGGTTGTAGTCACAATTGCGTTAATTGAATTTTTGGCAAACGTATCATGCATTCATAGTTACAAATGTCTCTGTGAACACGGAAAATTCCTGAAACGAAAGAGACAAGAACGAACGCGCACAAACAAATATTTGTATTTTTGATGATTTTGGGTTACAATCTCTCTCTATTTTGATCCTCTGATTCGATCTCCGTAAGGTATTGATTTGTGGATGTTTCCTTGATCCAAGGGCCGTCGAGGCTTGATCTTGGATGAACTGTTGGAAGTTTCTTCAAGGGGCCGTGGGCTTGATCTTTGAAGGTGGATTTGAGCGGATCTTCAAAGGGGCTTTTGGGCTTGATCTTTGAAGAACAGTGACGAACGGATCTCCAAGGGCTTTTGGGCTTGATCTTGAAGAACAGTGATGAACGGATCTCTAAGGGCTTTTGGGCTTGATCTTGAAGAACAGTGATGAACGGATCTTCAAGGGCTTTTGGGCTTGATCTTGAAGAACGGTTGGATGTGTGTGGATTTGTCGACGTTGTTGATCCAAAGGGCCGTTGGGGCTTGATCTTGGATGAACGGATGATGAACGATGGTGCTTTCTTCAAGGGCCGTCGGGGCTTGATCTTGGAAGAACGATGAACGAAGAAACACTTTCTTCAAGGGCCGTTGGGGCTTGATCTTGGAAGAACGATGAACGAAGAACGAAGAAGGCTTTCTTGATTCTTCGGGAACCTAGATGCTTGAGAGTTTCGGAGTTTTAGAGCTTCAGAGCTTCAAGGTGTAATATCAATTCCTCCCCCCCCCAAAATGAATGAAATAGGCTTGTATTTATAGAATTTTCCAATGCCTAATTTTGAATATAATATCCCAGATGAAATAAGTCGTTTCTGCCAGGTGTTGACACGTGTCTTATTTGATGACTTTTCCAACTCATTTCAATTTTCGTTGAGTCACACGCTACGTGTAAAATTTATGTAATACATGAGCGTTGACACTTTGATTTATCGGTCAACATTTATTTACCGAAATTTCGATGTCTACAAATGCCCCCACTTCAAGGCGTGTCGTATACATGTGATTGTCACGTGTAGGAGATGCGTTTTGAAGTCCCTTACTGTAGATGTCGATCCAAGGGCCATTCGAGGCTTGATCTTGGATTGGGCTGGAGATTTCTTCAAGGGCCGTTTGAGGCTTGATCTTGAATTGGGCTTGAGATTTCTTCAAGGGCTGTTGAGGCTTGTTCTTGAATTTTTTGTTTGAAATTTCTTCGAGGGCCGTCGAGGCTTGATCTTGAAGGTTGAAATTGAACCACAAGGAACTTCATGTGGTAGATGATCTTTGGCTTTGGTAGTGGGTGAATCGGCACGTATTTTGTTGCGCTTGTTGACTTTCCACAGCTTTGATCTTGAACTGTGTTGAAGGATTTTCTGGATTCCTCCAATTGTTGATTTTCCACAGCTTATTCTTGAACTAGGTTTTGATTCAAGGGTGGTAGACACTTATTCTTGAACTAGGTTTTGATTCAAGGGTGGTAGACACTTAATCTTGAATCGGACTTGTAATTTCCTCAAAGGTCGTCGATGCTTGATTTTGAATTTGACTGGAAGCTTCTTCAAGGGCCGTTGAGGCTTGATTCTTGAAGGTTGACTCGAACACATGGCAAGCAGGCACGAGGTAAAGGTGACAACCTGTTTCTTTGTTCAATCTTTCTAATTCACCTGAGCAGTTTGGTCAACGGTATGATCTTCAAGATTGATGGGCTTTTCTTCCAGTTGGTGACTTGATCTTTAAGGATTTGATTCAAGGGTGGTGAATCGACACGTGCAGCCTACAACGCCTAGTAAGTCGACCCAAGAATTTGAGGGTCAAAACGAGTTCACCGTCCTCAGGCAGATGCGGCATCTTCTCGAGTTCTTCATCTCAGACTCTTTCTGCTGAGTTAACTGTGCATGCTGCATTCTTCTCTGCTTGTTTCTTTAGGCAGATGTGGCAGCTTCTCGAGTTCCTCAGTTCGGACTCCTTCTGCTGAGTTGATCGTGCAGACCGCATTCTTCTCTGCTTGTTCCTTCTGCACCTTGTCTCCACATGCTGCAAGGTATCATTTTCACTTGCCTTATCTGTTCTTCAGGCAGATGCGGCAGCTTCTTTGAAAGTACAGCAGCAGTGGAAGGCGAGTACTCGAGAGCAGTGCTAGGTAGGCAATCAGGGAAGGGTTCCAAGCAGTCGGTTCCTTACCCGAGTTTGAGTGGAAGTTCCGGCATATTGTTTTCTTTATCCTTGTCTTTGTAGGTAAGAACAAGGACAAAGGAAAGGACAGGGAGAACGCATGATATGAGATACTCTTGCTTTCTACCCTGGTGATATGAGATACTTTTGCTTTGGAGTCATTAGCTTGCAGAGGTACTCCAAGGAATAAGGAACACTGAATGACTCGAGAGGTTTCGTTGGGAAGGCATTCTCGGAGATGAAGAAAGGTTCTGTATGTCCGCTTTGCTATGGAAGGTGAAGATGGACAGTTATAGGAAGTTCTTTAACACCTGTAGATGTACTATTCTTTCACTCGTGTCGGCAACCGTTGGATGATTGAACAGTATACTTCACGTGCTTTCTCCTTCACCGAAAATCTTCGACAAATTGCCCGTGATTTTTACCAAGCTGAGTGTGCATGTGACAGGTGTTGACGCGGCTGAAAAAAGGATGGCGCCTCTTCGATAACTGGGATCGGCGCTTCGACAAATTACCCGTGATTTCCGCAAAGCTGAGTTTGCGTGTGATGGGTGATGACGTGGCTGAAAAAGACTGGCGCCTCTTCGATATCTGGGATCGGTGCTTCGACAAATTGCCCGTGATTTTCGCAAAGCTGAGTTTGCGTGTGACGGGTGCCGACGCGTCTGGAAAAGCAAGATGCTTCTCCGATTTCTGAGCTTGCCTCTTCGATTTTTGAATGGCCTCTTCGAATTCTGAGCTCGCCTCTTCGATCTCTGAAATCCCATCGAGTGCTGATTTTTTATAGAGGCACGCTGTTCGTTTCAAAGCACACTTGAATTTTCGCTTGTGAAAACTCCCTTCTTGCACTTCTAAGATCTTGATTTGTCCGATCTCTTCTTTCTTCAATACTTTGAAAATGTCTGGACCCTCCGACCGTCGTTTTGACTTAAATCTTGGTGAAGAGGCAGTCCCGCCTTCTCCAGACAACATATGGCGCCCATCCTTCATATCCCCTACTGGTCCTCTTACCGTTGGGGATTCGGTGATGAAGAATGATATGACCGCTGCGGTGGTGGCCCGGAACCTTGTCACTCCCAAAGATAGCAGACTGCTTTCCAAGCGGTCTGATGAGTTGGCTGTTAAGGAGTCTCTGGCCCTTAGTGTGCAGTGCGCGGGTTCTGTGTCCAACATGGCCCAACGCCTATTTGCTCGAACCCGTCAAGTTGAATCGTTGGCGGCTGAAGTGATGAGTCTCAAACAGGAGATCAGAGGGCTCAAACATGAGAATAAACAGTTGCACAAGCTCGCACACAACTATGCCACAAACATGAAGAGGAAAATTGACCAGATGCAGGAATCTGATGGTCAGATTTTACTTGATCATCGGAGGTTTGTGGGTTTGTTCCAACAACATTTGCCTTCGTCTTCTGGGGCTGTACCGCGTAGTGAAGCTCCGAATGATCAACCTTTGGCTCCTCTTCTTCCTGGAGTTCCGCCGAGTACTGAGATACCACCTGAGCAATAAAGACTCCCTCCCGTTTGTTTGCACATTTGTAAATTTTTTTTTTTTTTTTTTTTTTTTTTTTTTTTTTTTTTGGTATGTAGAATGCAATTTTATGTAAAAATTCCCAGAAAAATAAATAAAATGGACTTTATTTCTCTCAATGCAATTTTTTTTTTTTTGGCTATATATATATATTATGTACATATACTCTTTTGTTTTTTTGTTTTTTTTTTTTTTTTTATCTTTTTCTTTTGGCCAGACGCACCAAAGATCCCTTTTTTTTTTTTTTTTTTTTTTATATATATTTTGCCTTTAATTATCTTTTTCTTTTGGTGCTGGATGCACCAAGTTCCATATCATTTTTTTTTTTTTTTTTTTTTCTTTTGTTTTTTTTCTTTTTGCACATGGTGCCCATGCATTACCAGAAACTTTTGATCTGCCATGGGGCTGTACCCCATCTTTGATCCACCATTCCTCTTTCCTCTTTTTTTCACGTGGTGCCAGATGCACCACCACCTCTTTTTTTTTTTTTTTTTTTTTTTTTTTTTTTTTTTTTTTTTTAATTGTATTTCTTTCTGTATAAATTAGGATGCTTGGCGGAGGGATTTGTAGGGAAGGATGAAGACGACGGAGATGCTGCAGTTGAGGCTTCATGACCGGCTAGTCGTTTGACGGCGGTTATTGAAGTTCTCCGCCGTTTGACGTTTTGCCACTGCCACTACACAACCATTGCTCCGCCACTGCATTATTGCTACCTTACACTGCCGCCATTGCACAGCCGCTGTACTGCCTGCCGTCGCAAAGGAAGGGATCATATTTGTAACCTGGGCACTTCCCACCAGACCACCAAGCGTTGCCACAAGACCCTCGAAATCCACCTCCATGAAGGGACTTGCCAAGCCGTTGCTGTTCATGGTGGAGTCAAAGACCGTATCGCCAAACTTGAGCTCATGTGAGCTGTCGGACGTGGTGTCGCAGCTCACCCAACCTCCAGGGTCTCAACCTTTCCAGGTGCTTCAGCTACAGAAGCTATCTTATCATCCAGTGCTGGCATTTGGTTAGTAGAATCGGGCATTTCTGGCATTTGGTGAGAGGATGACTCACTCTTCCGAGATTGCAGTCCAGTAAAGCGTGCAAGATCAATCCGTTGCTGAGTTCCCCAATATGAGTTTATTGTCCGAGAAACAAAAGACAGCAGATTTACAAGTAATGTTTGAGAAGCAAACTCGTCAGAAATTCGATGCTCTAGTGTAGCAGCTGTGAAACGCTGGAGTGTTCTAAAACACAAGAGCTCCTCTCCAAACGACTTCTCAATGACTTCACCTTGGACAGTGACACGGAGTGAACCATGAATTGTATCCGGTGGTTGAGACAATATAGCAAGATGGGTGGGACCACCTCCCCTTCCAACAGTGCCACCACGACCATGGAACATAGTTAGCTTCACACCAAATTTCTTAGCAATGTTGATAAGCTCCTCCTGTACCTTGTATAACTGCCAGGCTGCAGAGAAACGCCCTGCATCTTTACCAGAATCTGAGTACCCAATCATGATTTCTTGCGTTCCGTTGATCCGCTCTCTATACCAATCAATCGAGAAAAGCCGTGACAAAGTAGCAGGAGCAGCCTCCAGATCTGCAAGCTTCTCAAACAGTGGAACGACTCTTAGTGGTTTCTTCACGTGGCATTCACGTTGCAGGAGCTCAACTGCGAGCACATCAGATGGAGCAGTCGCCATTGAGATGATGTATGCTCCAAAGTTATCAGATGGAAGTTCTGATATCACATGTAATGTGTCCAAAACATCAGAGATTTCTTCCGTTTTTGGAAGATCAGGACCAAACAGTAGGCGCTTGCCACATAATTCAGATAAAAGCCACTCCTGACGGCGTTCTTCAGACCACTCACGATAGGAACCAATTTCCAGATGCTTGGTGATGGCGTCGATCAGTCCGTCGGCGCAGAACGAGAGGGAACAGTGGTCGATCCAGATTTTGCGAGCGCCGAAGAGGGAGATGCCGTCGCCGTCCGATTTGCCACGCCAGCCAACGTGGGTGGGGCTGGAGGCGATGTTGGTGTTGTCGGCGGGCTTGCAGTGGGTACAGCCTCATGTTCTCGCACAGCACCGCGTGGGTGTACACCATCTCCTTCACCTCGTCGTAAAACTCCTCCCGCTGCTAACTCAGACGACGCCGCTTCGTTGATCTGCCTCAAGATCTCGTTTTCTACACATGGGTTCTGCGAGAGAAGCCAGAAGAACCAGGTTAGAGCCGCCGATGTGGTGTCCCGGCCTGCGAGGGTGAAGCTGATGACGATGTCGGTGACGAACTTTGCGTCGGTGTGGCCAGAGCTCAAGAACCGGGAGAGCAGATCTACAGATCCCAACACCTTCGCCTCGCTCAGATCCCGCTTCTTTTCTCTGACAATGGCTTTCGCGAACTCGCGGACTTCTGACTCGACGGCACGGAGGCGCTTTTCGGACCCGATTCCGAGAGCCCTTTTGAGTTTCCATACTGGGTGCAGCAATCTGAGCCTGTCGCTGCTGATTTGCACGGCTTCGTCGAAAGCCACTGCGAAATTGGCTTCGGGCAGAGAGGGCAGGAGGCAATCCGGGTCGTACCCGAAAGCAATTCGACAGATGTTGTCGAAACCGAAGCGCTGAAGAATGTCTTGGAAGTCCAGGACTGAACTGCTGGCGGCGGAGGCGGAGAGAATTGGAATAAGGCGGTCGGAAAGCTCGGGGTCGACCACCTGTTCGACAAATTTACGCAGAGACTTGGTGTTGAACTCGTGGCTGGAGACTTGGCGCTGGAACTTCCAGTTATCTCCATCGGCGTTGAAAATGCCGTCGGGAAGAGGTCGGCGAGGGTGGTGCGGAAGGTCTCGCCTTTTTGGTAGTTGGGGAAGTTTGGTCTTCAGGATGTGCTGGACAATGTGGGATTGGCGGAGACGACGAAGCGGCGGCCGAGAGAGTGGTGGAGAGCGAAGGTGTTCGATGGGGAGTTGATACGGAACTGATCTTCTGGCCTTTGTTGCCGAGCTACAGGTCGTATCGCCGGTGCAGACCCGTCTCCAGTAGCCAAGGTGATAGTGTTGCTGCAAGTTGAAGGCACGGATGGAGGAGAAAACTCGGATTGGAGCTTTGAGAGCCGGGCCTGAGCTTTGTTGGGCTCATGGTTTGGGTCTAAAGAGACGGGCCTGATTTTGTAGCTGGGCTCAGACATGTATATATATATATATATACATTTTTTTTTTCTTTTTAGATAACATATGTATTATTATTATTATTATTTTTTTTTTTTTTTTTTTAAAGAAACTGTAATTTAATTTGTACCAAGAAAACTGCAAGTAATTTTGTAATAAAATTGACCTTCACCAATGAGACTTTAATCAAATCCTTTTTTTTTTTTTTTTTTTTTTTTTTGATGTGACTGAACTCGAAATTGAATGCTCAAGCTGCCTACGTACCCTTCCAAAGAAAGAGATCAAGTCAAAACGTAGTTCAAATGCATACATTTTTTTTTTTGGTATTTTTCTTTTTGTGCCGTTTGCAGTTTTGACTCATGCAGGCAAGGAGTGTTGGTGTCGTTTGTAATTTCAACTCGTGCAGACAAGGAGCATTTGGTGCCGTGTTGCAGTTTCAGCTCGTGCAGGCAAGGAGCGTTGGGGTTGTCTTTTATGCTCGTGCAGACCAGGAGCGTTGATGTTGCCTTTTATGCTCGTGCAGACCAGGAGCTTTGTGCCATGCAGTTTAGACTCGTGCGGGTGAGGAGCCTTGTGTCTTGCAGTTTAGGCTCTTGCAGACAAGGAGCTTTGTGTCTTGCAGTTTAGGCTCTTACAGACAAGGAGCTTTGTGCCATGCAGTTTAGACTCGTGCGGGCGAGGAGAATTTGTGAATTTTGTCAAGCAATCCGGGAGAGGCGTTCCTCACAATTTTCATAGCAAGGAGCTTTGACCGCGTGTTTGAAGAAGTTTTCGGGCAAGAAATCGCGCATCGTGATGGGGATGGACGATCTATGTGTCGAAATTTCATCATCTTCAACACGTTCACGTTGCTTTGAAGGTTGACAAGAGTTGCTTTGCCCCCTTTCCGATTGGCGGACTTGTGGAGGAGACATATGCTTCTTGTGCAATTTCTTAGGAGTGACTTGAGTCCATCCTTCTACTTTGCTTGTCTTGGAGGATGCCCCCAGCGGTTGAAGTGAAAACCTTGAGTCGGAAGAGCAAGAAGTGAAGGTGGTATAGTTTGACTTCGCCACTTCGTCAAGATCTAGCTCGATGATTCCTTTCTGAGCCAGCTTCATGATGAGATCTTTCAGCACGAAACATTTTTCTGTCGGATGACTGATGAAGCGGTGGAATTTACAGTACCTTGGGTTGTCGGTACGATTCATCTCTTCCGGCCGTCTGCACTCAGGCAAACTGATCACCTTCTTGTCCAACAGGTCATCCAGCATGGCAACTACATCAGAGTCGGGGAATGGATAAATCTTCTCCTCAAGCTCCTTCAAAGTGCGTCTACGCATCTCTTGATCACGAAAAGCTTCGGTTTGAATCGCCTTGCCTCGTGTGGAGATTTTGACGGGAGTTGTGTTGACCGTCATCGCTTCCTTGGTGGGTTTCCATGTGGCCTTTTCCACCTTTGTCCCAAGAACTTTGTCGTTCTTGTAGTCGGCGATCGGTTCTTTCTTCCCATGATGGGCGAATGCTCAACTCCATGTCATGGGCGCGAGTAGGCCAATTCCTCGAAGGTCCGTGGTTTAATGCCTTGAAGGATGTATTGCAAACCCCATTGCATGCCTTGGATGCACATCTCGATTGAAGAGAATCTTCCGAGAGTCCTGTCTTTACAGTCGAGGCTTAGAGTACGCCATCGGTTGATGTAGTCCAATGACTGGTTCTTCCTTCCATTGCTTCGTGCTCGTTAGCTCTAGCATGCTCACAGTGCGGCGGGTGCTATAGAAGCGGTTGAGGAATTCCCGCTCTAACTTGCTCCCAGCTGTTGATGGACTCAGGCTCTAGGTCTGTGTGTACCACTCAAAGGCGTTTCCTTTCAGCGAGCGCACAAACTGCTTTGGCGAGGTAATCCCCTTCGGTTCCCTGCGTTGTTGCAAGTTTCAACGAAGTGGGCAACGTGCTGTTTCGGGTTTCCCTTTCCATCAAATTGCATGAACTTTGGTGGTTGATAACCCTTCGGCATCCTTAAGGCGTCGATCTTCTTTGAATACGGCTTTGAGTACAACCCGGAGGTATTTGAGCTCCCTTCGTACCTGTGCCTTGATGTGTTGGTGATCATCTCTTGCAGCTGCTGGATAGAAAGAGATCCCATGAGTGCCGCTGCTTGGTCTGGCTTCGGCTTTGCATCGTTTTTTCTCCACCTGAGGCTCATCTTCTTCGTCATCTCTTCTCTTTTAGTGGATCATTCTCTGGGTCGGGTTTATCGCCGTCCTGCGCCTCCAGTCGGTTGACTAGTGCTGCCAATTTGCAAGTCTTTTTCTTCCACAGTTCGGGTTAGCCTTGCGATCCGCTTCATTCATTTGAGCCAGTTGTTCTTCAACGGAGGTAACGCCGATAGTCATGACTTGTGCGACCAATAGACGTGGACTTTCCTTTAGACATCCAGGATGCTGATGAGAAGAACGTCGTTGGGTGCTTTGGGATGTCAACTTGTGTGCCCTCAGCAGCATGCTTCGGTGCCCCCAGCAAGGTCAGGTTGATGACAGACTCACACCTTTGATGCTCCCCTCGCTCTTTTAGCGGCACCAATTTTGAAGCAGCATGTTGAGGAGCGGTTGTGGCGCCAATGGATTGTCCGTTTGCGGCAGAAGTGCTTAGGATCCTTCCCTCAGTGGTTGCGAGAACGGCTTGTCCCTTGCTTAATGCCATTGACTTTGAGGTGTGTTTGGATTCTTTGAACGGAGAAAGAGATGAGAGGCAGAGATTATCCCACCGGGCGTGCCAATTTGTGAACACGGAAAATTCCTGAAACGAAAGAGACAAGAACGAACGCGCACAAACAAATATTTGTATTTTTGATGATTTTGGGTTACAATCTCTCTCTATTTTGATCCTCTGATTCGATCTCCGTAAGGTATTGATTTGTGGATGTTTCCTTGATCCAAGGGCCGTCGAGGCTTGATCTTGGATGAACTGTTGGAAGTTTCTTCAAGGGGCCGTGGGCTTGATCTTTGAAGGTGGATTTGAGCGGATCTTCAAAGGGCTTTTGGGCTTGATCTTTGAAGAACAGTGACGAACGGATCTCCAAGGGCTTTTGGGCTTGATCTTGAAGAACAGTGATGAACGGATCTTAAGGGCTTTTGGGCTTGATCTTGAAGAACAGTGATGAACGGATCTTCAAGGGCTTTTAGGCTTGATCTTGAAGAACGGTTGGATGTGTGTGGATTTGTCGACGTTGTTGATCCAAAGGGCCGTTGGGGCTTGATCTTGGATGAACGGATGATGAACGATGGTGCTTTCTTCAAGGGCCGTCGGGGCTTGATCTTGGAATTGAACGATGAACGAAGAAACACTTTCTTCAAGGGCCGTCGGGGCTTGATCTTGGAAGAACGATGAACGAAGAACGAAGAAGGCTTTCTTGATTCTTCGGGAACCTAGATGCTTGAGAGTTTCGGAGTTTTAGAGCTTCAGAGCTTCAAGGTGTAATATCAATTCCTCCCCCCCCCCAAAATGAATGAAATAGGCTTTGTATTTATAGAATTTTCCAATGCCAATTTTGAATATAATATCCAGATGAAATAAGTCGTTTCTGCCAGGTGTTGACACGTGTCTTATTTGATGACTTTTCCAACTCATTTCAATTTTCGTTGAGTCACACGCTACGTGTAAAANGCTCTTC